GAGAGAGAGAGAGAGAGAGGGGAGGGAGAGAGACAGCTTTAGCACTAACAACCCATTGAGAGAGCACCTTTATGTCGGATTTGTGCCTCTTGCAGATTGAGAACTCGGCCAGTTCACAGCCGAGTAAGAGGAAGGCATGTTTTGGACAGAGTGACCATTGTTGGCAACGGTTGGTTGTGATTGGTGAAGTTGGTGGGTGCTAACAGGGCTTGCACCACCCCCTGAAGACTCATCACCACTCATGCCGCTGCCATGAGAATGTGGGCTTGAAGATTGGTTAGGCTCAAAAGCTGATGCTGATAAGGGGTCTCGGATCTGTGGCTTTGGCTTCGGTTTCTTACCCTCTGCAATGAAGCTCCCCACAACAACCTGACGATAATAACACAAAGATGAAAAAAAAATAATTAAAATTTAATTTTTTGCCAAAAAGTAAAGCTTTTTAACAAATCATGGGAACTTGGGGAGAGAGACTTGTGAACTATTCGAAGGGCAACCAAAAGAGGGAGACTTGCAGTGAATTATGGGAAGAGGGGCAGATTAATGGAAAGGTAAATGCGAGAGAGAGAGTGAGAGAGAAAGAAAGCTCTATAAATCTGAGAACCTGGACCGGGGTTGCTGCCACTAATAACCCGGCAACTCCACCACCTAGAACACGGCCATCTGGTCCTGCCAATGACACGCTCAAGCCACCAGTTCTACTAAGGATACCATCTCTCTCAGTGAGCAAGTACGAACCAGATAGAGATATTATCTCAAACCGCCCCTGTAAAAGCAAGACATCACTACTTTATAACTCATAATTTCATGAAAAACAGTTCCATGGTGAAAATTGAAAACCATGCATAGAGATTGGAAGACATCAGACTTCAGACTGACGAGGGAGCCAAGTAGAAGAGAGATTCATTGTAATTTTCAACTTTTTACATAAAATCATTGATAAAATATGGCCAAATAACAAAAGGTCTTGTATGATACGATCCATATGGTCATCAAACCCCATGACCATCTGGTTATCACCGTCTAATCAACAGGCTTGGTCAGTGAATGAGGGGAGTGGGTCCCACATTACAATTCAATCTTTGAATTAATCGGGCCAAGTCATGAGAAATTCAATAAAATTATTCCACTTTCCATATATAATAAACCACTAGAAATTGTTTTCGATAGGCTTTGATGAAAAATAAAAGAAAAATTGAAATGGTTTAGTAACACGTGAAAAAGTTCCTCTCATTTGCTCCCCAAAATATTTAACCTCTTCAAAATGTATTTGACCACATCTTTAACTTTTTATATGTGCTAAAATACTTACAAAAAGGAAAAAAAGAAGAAGATAGCCGCTTCAAACCTCATATGTTACTGTCCCACCAGAGGTGGCAGCTTGACGGAGAGTCACATTGGAAATGGCGCCATTGGCCGAAAGAATACAAATTGCTCGAGGCCCTTGTTGTGAAAAAGACATGATTTTTGATGCCACATCCTTCAAAACATGAAAGACAGTGAATAAAATCCTCAGCAAGCAAATTAGTTTTTTTATCACTGGACATACTTGTCATCACAATTATATGCTGAATCCATAACAATCAAGTATGAGGAGAAAAGGGTTTGTTCCACCTAACAGCTGCCTTTTTTGACAGTTAATAATTTATAACCCAAAAATATGGTATGCACTAATTTTTCTTCCAATCCCAGTAGAAATCAAAGTTAAGTAATAGTAACAAACAGATTTACTTATCTGTGCAAGTACTTTCCAAAAGTGTTGAAAAAACATCTTTAGGAAGTTTTATTTTTACTCTATTTTGATAGAAAAGTCAGTAAAAATTAAATGACGAGGAAAGCACAGAAGACACATCTCATATGTGTGGCCATTGATAGGGCCGGATTGGCAGAATAGGATTCATGTAGCTGATCCCAAGTAGTTGGGATAATGATGATGATGATGATGATGATGTGTGTGTGTGTACCATTGCTAGCGTGCGAGTGTGCGCAACAGTGGACAGGAAAACAATGATAATACGGATTGATAAATTCTCCAAGTTAATTAGGAAAATATTTTTACGAAATAAATTGTGTGGAAAATGACTTATTCAAACCTAATGCAAAAATGGAAAATGTAAGAAAAATGGATAAATGACTACCTCTCCAGCCATGATGGCAATGATATGTGGGGTAAATCCTACTCCTGCAGTGCCTGTCATGAATCCATAAATAGACTACATCAATGTAAGGAAAGTAGGGTAAATGAAGAGAGAGAGAGAGAGAGTTTCAATGTCAAGTGACTGAAGTAAATTGTGAGTTCACTTACTGCAATTTAATAACTAGGAAGAATAACCAAAACCCAATTTGAAGAAATCAAATAGACATAAGAGGTACCATAAAACCAAAAGAATGTAAATATCCAAAACCAATGTAATGCATAGAATCCAACGAAGCTTTAATGGAAAACAGATAGCACAAGGACCTCACAAAAGTACCTAATGCAGCCATTTGCTGTTTCCTTCCTCCTGCACCAGCTGGCCGCCCTCTATTCCGTTTATACGAAGGTGTAGTAGAGTAGCCTGGAACTGAAGAAATTGGTGATGCCAGAGCCAATGAAACACTACCATCTGGTCCATATTTTCTCGGTCTTCCTCTCTTCTTCTTAATTGGCTCACTCATGCTTGCCCCATGCGGTACTATGGCACCAGATGGGTTTGGGTAGTTTAATGGAGCATTAGCCTCTGTTTGTTTAGAAACAACTGTGTTAAAGGGCAACCTCATATTCTGAACCAAACCTCCCTGAGGGGTGGCAACCATAGGACTATTTTGCATACTAGAGCCATAAGTCTCGGTGCCCATCATCATATTAGGTGGCTCTCTTCCTTCCATTCATATGATAAAAACCAAAAAACTAGAACAGTGAAATACGAATCGATCTTCTACACTAACTGCTCAAACCCCTTTCAGCATACTTCTACTGTCTCTATGATAAAAGTCCCAAAAACCAGGAAATCTAATCTCAATCAAAATGGTAAGATTACACTAGATTAAAGCTGGCCTAGCTTAGTGGTATGCAGCTCTGTGATTCTGTCGTTTAACACCCAAATCTCTATTTCTGATCTTGTCACCAGCTCATACAAAAAAAATTTTGAACTCTAGTTTCTGCCACCTTGGTATACCAACAGTGAAAAATATGACAATTTTACAAAGAACAATACTCTATAAAATAAATACTACAATCAATGGTCACATTCTCTGAAGAAAGTCAGAAGAAGCCTTTTGACAAATTCACTCAAATCATATGCTATGAGTGAAAATTATGCCCCTTTGTTCACACTTCAAATGCCACCACCTAAGTTCAGAGAGCCATCTACATAAAGCACATTCTTTCACTTTCCTCAGGAAAAGTTGAAACTTGAAATCTCAAACCTGCAACTTCCAAAGCCCCATCCTCTTAGAATGTCCAGGAGGCGATTCTGTTCAAAACAATTGACAAACAAAATCAGAAAAGCATTAAGAAAAATCAGAAAAAATCCAAAAACCACAAATAAAAAAAAAAGAAATAAGAAATAAAAGAAAGAAAGATCTTAGAAAAAAAAAACCAAATAACCCCAAGTTTTCCAATTAAAAAATAAATCCATACAATGTAGAAACGATTTGAACTTTCTCTCTTTTTGGGTAGATAAAGCTCTTGTTTTTTTCTTATAACTTGCAGATCATGGATTCACATAGGATCTAAAAGGCACAAGACATCAAATGAAAGAAACAGTTCATCACCCAAATATATAAACATTAAAAATGCAAGCTTTTGCCTAAAAATGCAAACTTTTTCTCAAAAAAATCATGTCTGAAATTTTTTTTTTGAACAAAAAACTCTAAAAAATCATGTCTGAAAACTTTCGAACAAAAAACCCAAAAAGTTTCTTACCTCGGCGTGAAAATAGCCGAACCAGGGCCGAGATTTAGGGTTTTGACACAGTACCTGAGATTTAGGGTTTTAGAAGACTTTATGCTAATTTCTTAGTCCTTTTTATTATTTATTTGAATTTTTTTATTCAAAATCCTCGGGTTTCAAAAAGGCAGCAAAAGAGAGGACTTGTGTGGAAATATTTATTTTTGCAAAGTAGCCAATAAATAAATAATTAATTATTCCAAATATCTTTCCTTTGCCCAATTAAGGTCATTGTTACTAAAATTAAATAATCAGTACTTTGCTTTTCAGAGGGCATGAATTGAAATTGCTTATTAAAAATTTCCCATTCTCATTTTCCCATAAACTTTCACCTCTGTCTCTAGAGTTGTGCCCTTTTATAAAGTACTTGCTCTTGACTTAGTCTTTACTCATTACTTGCAAAAAAATAAATAAATAAATAAAAAGGTTTTGGTTTTGGCTTTTGAATTTTAAGCTGCTTCTTTTTCCCTCCCATTTTTTCGAGATTCAAGGTTTTCTCACTGTTTCTAGGGTTTGAAATTTTTCATGAAGGGCGGGCGGGGCGCCAAATTGGCATGTTATGTTTAGATGAGATTCCTCCACCACTCCAATCCAATCATATTGACTACTCTTTTAAAATAGGGTGAGGTTTGTATAAGGTTTCCTCCTTACACTGTAGAAGTAAGGTACACTTATAAATTTTACTTAGAGATGTTGTTTCGATGTTGGAAGTGATAGCTTCAAAATATCTTTTTATCGTTAACTTTTAAATTTTAAATGTAAAAAATAGTACAGATCGAGTATATCATCAATTTATAAACACTTAAAATCTTAAAAATAAATTGTCCAAATAACTTGTTATAAAATGTATTATTCTTTGGACTTAGAATTACTTTTTCTTCTTTATGTCTATTAATTTCAAGGTCGAGATGATCAGTCGGAGGGTTCTCTTAGAACACACTCCAGTGTAGGATTTTTGAGATGCATCTTACTTCAACATTATAAAGTTTCAACCTTATATAAATTTTTTCCTTTAAAATACTGACCCTGGTTCGAACACGAAAGTGGTCTTCAAATGCCGTGCTCGGCCGAGCCTCGATAGCAAATATAGAGGGTTTAGTACTTGGCTCAAATTCATCGAACTTTTAGAACAAGACTCGGTTAAGTCTCAATAAACAATACATAGTAATTGGGAGTTCTTTCACCTAGTCCCAACACCATGTTAGGCCTGAGAGTTTAAGCATGAATTAAATAATTTTAAAGCATAGCTAAAGATATATAAATTACTCCAACTCTGGGCATTTGGAGGCTTTATTAAAAGAACGCTAGAAAATGCTGCTTTGTTAAAAAAATGCTGCTTTGTCTAATGTATGTGTCCAAGAGAGCGAATCAATCCAATTATAGGCATCAGAGAGAGAGAGAGGAAATCATTGAAACTCTAGGCATTTGGAAGCTTTAATATAAATAATGCTAGAAATTGCTACACTTGATCTTAGCTGAAAGTTCGAGAAAGGTATAGAATGCTAGAAAATGCTTTGTCCACTGTGTATGAAAGAAAGAGCGAGAGATCCCAACTGGAGGCATTTGGAAGCTAACAAAATGCTAAAATGCTGATTTGTCTAAAAATAGAGAGGGTGAGATAGAGAGATGTGAGAAATCTCTGTTTTTTGTAGTCAACTTGTCGGAAAAAAGTTCGTATTTGTGTCCAAAGGTGATATAAAAAAAAAAACGAAAAAATAATTATACAATCGGTATGATATTACAAAAAATGTAACAAAAAAATATCTTAATACAACCTGTCTAATTAAGGAAATATTATCCAAGTTATAAAGTAAATAACAAAAGTATATATAATTTCACACTTCCCCTCAAACTCGTGATGGTCGGAAGCGAACCGTTGAGAGTTTGGAAACAAGGCTTGAAAAACGATGAGCATTATGAGATGTCGTAAAGAAGTCAACAAGTTGTGCATAAAATGAAATATATGGTAGAGAGATTGTCCCAACTAAATATTCTTGTTGTTTAACCAAATGACAATCTACTTCAATATGGTTGGTGAGCTCATAAAATTCTAGATTATTGACAATATAAATAACACTCTTGATATTACAATATAAGGGATTAGAAGCAAAAGGTTCCACACCTAAATAAACTAATAACCATCGAAGCAAGACAATTTTTGTTGTCGTTTGAGCCATGGCTCAATACTCAACTTCAATGGTAGATCGAGCAATATATTTTTGCTTCTCACTCTTCGAAGAAGTAAGACAGTTACCAAGAAAAATAAAAAACTTGTAGTAGACTTCCTATTGGCAGTGGCCCTTGCAAAATCAGAATCAATGTAAGCATGAAGCTCAAGCATGGAAAATGAAGAGAACAACAGAGCACGATCAAACATGTCATGAATATAATGAATAATATGTAAAACTACTGCAAGTATGCAGCATGAAGGGTACTAAAGAATTGACTGACAAGACGAATAACCTAAGCTGTGTCTAGCTGAGAGAGTCAGATAAATCAGCTTCCAACAAGCTATTTATAAAATGTAGGATCAAGAATAGGCATGGCAATGGACCCGAACCCGATATGAGACCCGACGGGTATACCCGACACAAGTCTGGGTATGGGCCCAAGTTATGAACCCGCAGGTAGGGTCCGGGTCCAATGAATGATACCCAAACAATCACGAGTATGGGTGCGGGTATGACTATATCCGACCCGATGGATAACCATACCCGTATTTATTATATATAATTTAACCTTAAATTTATTATTTTGCATGATTTAATTTTTTATAGCAACTTTAAGTTCCCCCACCCTTTTATAAAGCTTACATCCTAGGGATTCCAGACACCTCTTCGATGTGAGATTAATCCTGTGCCAATAAGAGAGGGAAATCTTAACATGAGAGATATATGAGTTGGTATGTCTTGCATGCCAGCCTAACGCCATCCCATTAAGAGAGAAATCATGTCAAGGAAATGAAGGCATCTTGCCTCTTTATTAGGGTGTGACCATGTGAGTTTTCACTTTAGTGTCAGCCTGGTGCCAACCAATTTGGTGTGTCATGAATTTTTATCTCTCTCTAACCCCAACCCTATGTGCATGTACCATCTTCTATAGATAGGAAGATTAGTTCCGAATCGATGGGAATAGAAAAAAATGGGTGGGTTGAGATCTATAAAAGCAAAGGGGCATTTAATTATTTCCAAACCCCCTCATTGGGTAAGTATCGGGTACGGGTCCCGGGTCCAACACTACCCATTGGGTATGGGTAGGTTCACATTGGACTCGTAGGGTATGGGTTAGGGTACGGGTCTATATAGGTCATTTCGGGTTCGGGTTCGGGTACAGGTACTGTTGGACCCAACCTATACCCAACCCGTTGCCAACCCTAATCAGGAAGGAGCTCACTATCTGTAGAACAAAGTTTGACATTCAACTCAGTATGTATGTCAACATGCTTTGTATGATCAGCCAGACAAGCTTGAAAAACAATATCAGAGGTATACTTAAGTTGATAAAGTAAATATTAATGCAGAGAATAAGCAACCTCTCGACCAAAAAAAATTCTAAGAATCCAAAGTTGACTAAGTTACTGCTTGATTAGATGAATGGTGGCGTCATCATCACTAAATATAATCATATCATCAACATATAGTAGGAGATCTGTACATCATCTAGATGTGACTGAGACAAATATGGCAAGGTCATAGTACCTCTATTGAAAAACTGCAGAGACAACATCAGAACTAAAATTTTCAAACCAAGCACGAGGGGCTTGTTTAAGCCCATGGAGTGTGCGCCGTAGCTGTCAAATTCTATCTTCAGGATCTGAAAACCCAAGATGTAACTTCATATAAACTTCTTTTGCATGATCGCCATTAAGAAATGCATTTTCCCATTGAGTTGATATAGTGGCAATTGGCGAACAACAACTAATTAATCAGAGTGCAAATTGTTATATGGGCAACATGAATAAATGTTTCAGCAAAATCAATCCCAAATTGTTGATTAGAAACTTTAGCCACAAGGCGTTCCTTATAGCACTTGATGTTACCATCATCTTAAGTTTTGATTTTGTATACCCACACTTTTATTTTTAGGAAGATGGACGAGATACCAAACATGCATTCTATTGGGTGATCAATTCTTCTACCATGGCATGTTGCTACTCATGTTGTGTGTAGCTCCTTCAAAAGTCTACGGCTCAAAGTAAGAATAAACATAATCAATTTGCTCGATACTCCGATAAAAAGGTTTCATAATCAACAAAACAAACATGTAAGACAGATGCATAATTACTACAGAAGAAAGAAGTTTGCATAGAAACAACATGTAGGAGCTATGGATGAGGTTCCATATGCATCAGAAACATCATCAAAGAAAGGGACCGGAAAAGAAGTATCTATGTGTGCATGAGTACTTGAGTCCCTTTTTAGTTCTATGTTGTATCATCCATGAGGTTGTATATGTGAATCCTAAGAAAATATTGTCACATAAATTATTTTGAATAGTATGGACGTGAAAGTCCAATATTTCTCTCTTCTTCTTTTTTTCCCTTTTTTTTGAAAGTCCAATTATTCATAATGATCATGGATAGCAAATATTAACATTTAGAAGGATAAAAACTAATATATAAAGACATAAACTATCCAAGCAACACTATGTCCCAGGTTTGAATCCCATTTTTACCTTCGTAAAAATAAATATCATCTAAATGGAAATCGGGATACCACTCAAATGAATTTTTGGATCTGGAGCATTTCAATAAATAAATAATTTAAATACTCTGACAATAGATGGTTACGGTGTGTTGTTCCCACCAGCTTTAGGCGAGCCATTCAGACTCACCCCAATTACTAACGAGTAGGAACCATTAGGGCTAGCAGAGGGTTGGGCTTGGGCCAGACCCCCCTAGCCATAGCTTAGCCTTGGTTCCCATAGGGCCAGCTAATGTCTGGCTTGGGCAGAAGTCCCTGGCCCTATCAAGGTAAGCTGACCATGCCAAACATAATCAAATAGAAAACAAAATATACAAAAGGAAAAAAGGGCCAGATCGGGCTGGCCCTGTTGTGGCCCTAGCCCAGGCCTAGCTCGGCCTAGCCTTTAGGCCACATTCTATAGCCTAGGCTATAGGTTTTCAGGGTCGAGCCGAAGGTCCGAGACCAGGCCTCTTGCCCCATTGCCAGCTCTAAGAATCAACCAAACTCGACTTCTTCCAACTCATTATCACTATACCTTTGTATAAACTCGAGTAAAGATAACTCCGACTCGATCCCCTACAAGTCCCTAGTCCATGCCTTGTTTTTCAATATAATTACCTACATTGCCTAAAAAATTACCCATGCCATACCATGTCAACAGTGGGCTGCTTGGGTGTGTCATTCCTCAGCGCAAAATCTGTAATTAACATTGTAAGTTGAAGCATGTGATCAAGCACGGTGTACATAAATTAAAAGTTTTCTTATTCTTACACAGGCAAGATCACTCACAAACAAATAACTCTTGAAATAAATAAATAAAAGAAAAAAAATACGTTTCTCACTTGCTATTATTATTGAATACAATTCCTTAAATCAAAACCTTAACTGATTGCTTTATGGGAAGAGGAGATCAAATCACAAATATAGATTTAAAGAGGTAAACTTGCTAGAGATTACCTCAACCGAGTATAGGATACCCCACGCCGAGTCTTTTCCTTTCGATAGTGCTCGGGATCTATGATTAGTCAATTGATTCTTCTACATACGACAAAACCCTTTCAAATGACATATGGATCTCAATCTAAAACCAACTATCTAAACCCTCAATGCCTTAGTCTTGCTCAAACCCCTTTGGCTTGATCTTTGGAGCGATGAGAGATAGATCAAAGAGAGAGGGAGAGAACTACTAGCAAGGGGATCCTCCCCTTTGCTACCCAAAAATCAAACCACTACAAGCTATCTTTAGCTTGGGCGTGCCACCTAAGAATAAGAGACCCTTTGCTACTCAAAAATCAAATCACCACAAGCTAACCTTAGCGTGGGCGTGCCACCGTTGCTCCCTTTAGAAAAACTTAGGAGAGATCTTGATTTTGGTTGGTGTGTACTCCCCTTAAAAAAACTTGGGAGAGATCTTGAAGCCTTACATAGGGCGTGTCACCTATAGAGAGATATTTGAGAGAGAGAGAGAAACCCTTACAGAAAGAAGAGAGAATAGGTGTAGAGATTTTATGAGGTGGGAGAGCCTCTTTTTATATATTTTCTATGTCTTGGTTCGTAGGGTCAAATGTTGACGGTCGATCTCGGAAGACGTATGGTAAGAGATTTGAGTCATCTATCTCTTTGATCCACCATCAATATCCAAAGAGATGAGCTAGAGCATTATCCTCATTTTTCTAGATTTATTACCATCAAATCTTTAAATAAAGAAAATATATATCTTACTTTCTATTTTAATATATCAAATCCTTATTTCTTATATCAAACAATTTTGATTCAAAATCGAATCCTTATTTCTTAGATCAAACAATCTTGATTCAAAGATGTACTAAATATTTCAAATATTTAATTTTATCATGCAATTTGGATATACCTAAAAGATAACCATCAAACAAGGTGATAACTATCACCCAATCTCGGAGAACAAGTTAATCCATATGAGTGTGTCGTGCCACCCTTTAGTGGCCACACGACCCACCCAACTCCACATGTTATAAATTGGGCCTATCTATTTATGGAAGGTTTATATAATTTTAGAAAATATTTTATCTTGTATTTAGAGTTTTTCAAATCTTTATATTTTATTTAAAACATTGAAAAATTAAATTATCTTAATTTATAAATTCAAATGTAAAAAATAAAATATCAGAAGATTCACAAAAATTCAAATAAACATTCTAAAAATCATATATCATAAAATTAATTAAAACTAATAAATTTTGATGGGAATCGAATTTATTAGATCTAGAAATTTATCAATATATGAGAGCACTCTACTTTCAACTACGGTCCACGATTTACTTATATTTCTCAAATTGACCCTGCAGTTTTCATGACCCGTAGTTCATTGTAGGGGCTCATGATTGGACCACCAAAGTCTGCCAATAGACTAGGTGACACAATCCCAGTTTATGGATTTCAGGTTCTCCCCTAGATACAAAAAAATCATGGTCATCAAGACCATGATGCAACCATAAATCTATGGTGCAAAGGGGTAATCTCTCGTACATGTACACGCTTTACCTTTATTGGTGAATCTCAATACGACTATCTATGTACATGCCGTGTGATGATATAACAATGAGGTTTTTAGCCTTATCTCTAAAGGTTATTCATTACACGTAAGTGTCATATAATCCCTCGATTCTCATCTGGGCATACTCTAACGTCATCAATGGCTAACTTACTAAACCGTTCTCAGTAGATCCCTATGCCAAAGTATCTTGGGTTTTTTAAAACTCGGCTGGCCTAGCACGTCGAGCCTAATCCGAGTACCGGTAAATTACATTTGTCTAATATGATATACAAGAGGACGACACTCTTACTGAGTTTATGTTTTAAAATATAAAATGTTCATAAAAACTTTTATAAGGCTTTTAAAGGCTACATAAACCTATCAAACGTCACATTTATGTAGTGATGTCAAAGCACTTTAAGCAACATGACTTTACATTGAATACAAAACGTTTATAAAAAATATTTTTCATTATTTATATATTTAAAAAGACATTTGCATGTGCTTATATTTATTTAATTAGAGGAGTCTAAGGGAAAAGTTTTTCAAAAAGTTTGAGAGTACTGTTTGTAATGAATGTCTCAGGCATCAAACTTTTCAAAGGAAAGGTATCGCTTGGTCGATTTAAAAGTCCAAAAGATGCATACACATGGTTCCACAGCACTGGGCACACGTGTTTTCCATGCAATCGGTTATGATTTTTTACCCAAACCTATATAATTAAGGGTGGTCAATGGACCCGGACCGGAAGGGTAGACCTGATCTGCATATGGATTTAAAAATTGGACTCGATAGGTTAGGTTTCGGTCCTGGATTCAAATACTATTTGGATCCGAGTCCGGTAATATTTTCTTGGGTCCCAATATTGAAATATATTCAAATATAATTACATATATAGGTATTTTAAGTTTTTGGTTGGATCCAATAGAATTCAGATACAGGTCTTATGAATTCGGGTTAGGTCGGGTCTGGGTCTAGGTCTGGGTCCATCCTGACCTCCCTATGCACAAAGTTAGGAAGTACATTAATGAAGTTTTAGACTTGAGAGAGAGATCCTTTCCCTTTAAAACGGTAGAAAAAAAAGGTCGAGAGAGAGAGCCTCGTAGAAAGGCCCATCATAAATATTCTAGCACACAACACAAGATCACTTCTTCATCTTTTTGTAGGCTTTTATAAAAACCAATATTTTGTTAATGACTTATTTTTCATGCAATTAAGATGCAAATAACACCACAAGTTCAGAAAAATAGACATGAATTTTGGAATTGTCTCCATTGCCTTCTCCATTACCTTCTAATTTTCTTAAAATAATTGTGTTTTTCTTACAGCTTCTAAAAGCAACTTCCCACTAGAGAAGAACGAAAAATTCCAAAAGCAATATGGAAGCCACAAGTTCCATCTCATCAATGGTTAGAGATCTAGTCCCTGCCCAATCAAACGGCTGAAAAGTCCATGCTTGAATGGTGTGTGATCGATCTTGAGAGTTCAGAGTGGAATTACAGCCTCAAAATTATGTGAAGCTTTCAACTTTGTTAAATAACCATTATACCCCAAAATGGTTTATAACACATTGTACAAGTTCCAAAAGACTTGCAGTTAAGAGGGCACTACAACAAACATTAAACAAAATGGATGCAAATTCAAGTGTGGAGAATGGAAGTAAGATGTATAGAGCTGCCAACAAAGGGAACTGGAGAATGATAAAGAAGGCCATCAAAGAAGAGCCAAGTTACCAAAGTGCCCCTATGTCGCCGTCGGGCGCCACAATTCTCCACCTAGTTGCGCAATTCCGTCAAGAGAAAACACTCGTAAACATTCTAGAGTTGATGACAGCGGATGCTATGAGCTCGAGGACTGCTCAGGGGAACACTGTACTCCATGAAGTGGCAATAGTGGGGAGCATGGAGATGGCGGCGAAAGCAGTGTGTAGGAAGAAGCACAGGTTGGTTACAGTTTGCAACCATTTCGGCGAGACCCCCGTGTTTCTCGCTGCTAGCTATGGTCGCAAGGACGTGTTTTGGTATCCAGCAATGGAAGCGGAGATGTCGTGCCAAGGGAATTATGGTGCCACCATCCTTCGTGCTGCCATGGTTGGAGAATTCTATGGTATGTAACTTAAGATTCGCTGGTCTGCATTTCGAAATTTTATTGCATACATACATACCACATATATATCTGCGCACATGAATTAGAAGTATATTTCCTTTTGCACTACCTATGTGTTAGAAGAAAGAATTGGATTGAAGAATCGCTTCCAAATTTTCATTGGAAAAATTGAAAATGTTGATTAATAGTTAGCATTACATTTTCATACCTTTTTTGAACAACCCAAATGCACACATCCACATGTATTAACAATATGATCTTATACATTCTTCCTTCATGTTAGAAAAGACTTGTGCCAATGTTCATATAAAAATGAAGGTTTTATTTGTTTTTTGTTTTGTTTTTGTTTTTTTTTCAGATTTGGCACTGAGAAAGTAGAGAGATATCCAAGTCTTGCTGTTGCAAGAGATGAGAAGGGAGTCTCACCTTTACACATCATGGCAAACTCCCCAAAGTCATTCAAGAGTGGGACTCTTTATTACCTAACAAATATTGGTGTGTCCACAACAGTTGTCTTGGAGATTATTGGAAAAGTCATCTACTCAAGTATGTTCTTATATAAAGCATTTTTTTTTTTTGGTGTGAGCAAGTGAGGAGAGGCCCTGTTTTTGGTAGGAATTGAGTCTAGGATGTAGTGTTACAAATCTTCAACGCCAACTAATTAGGCTCATGCTCTTTTCCTAAATTATTATTATTATTTTTGAGTGAGTTAGTGGGGAGAGGGCCCTTAACCTTGGTAGGAATTGAGTATAGGATGTAGTGTTACAAATCAAGCGTTAACCAATTAAGCTCCGGCTCCTTTCTTAAATTTTTTTTTTTTTGGGTGAATCAATGGGGAAAGGACCCTTACTTTTGGTAAGAAGTGGGCCTTAGGACATAGGGTTACAAATTGTCAAGCGCTAACCAATTCAGCCTTAAAAAGTATAGAGAGAAAGACAGAGTTGTTATATAAAGCATAATTTAGCTTAACTTGAGATATATAAATGTAGGCATACACAATGGAGGTGTGAATACGCGTATATATTATGATCGAATTGTATTTAGCTGCAGCATGCATGAAGCCGTGGCTCCGTGATAAAATGTAAAGCTGCATCTGAAAATCCTCTCGAAAAATGCTATTTTCGTAGTGAAAACCCTTGGGATAGTTTGAAGATATGTTTCCATTCTTAATTATGAAATTTGATACTATGAAGAAGGTGCTAATCTAGGAGTGGGCCCTTGGCTTGGGAGGTCAAGGTAGTAAAGCTGCGCTGTGACATCGAAGTTCTATTCCTACCCATCAACATATCAAAAAAAAAAAAAACGAAAAGAAAAAACAAAAAAAATGGTGCATGTCTACATAGGAACATTTGAAAATGGACAATCTGAAAAATATATCACAAGACACATTGGGTTTTGGGCTCCAGATTCTTTTTTCTGGACCTATAATAGTTAGAGGGCTAGATGACCAATTCGATAATTTTATGGACAACAATATTTGGCATAGTTTGAGTTGCTACTTTGAAATTTTGCTACCCTACCCTAACCAACTTTTATATATATAGGGAAAGGTTTATATGCTCCCCCTACCATCCAGCCATCCAACTTTGATCGAGAGAGCCACTCATCGTTT